CGCACAGGGGAAACCTTCTGAACGTTCTATCGCCGAAGTCGCCTACGGCCTCGCGCGTTATGCAGCAATTTGTCAGCAGAACCGCCTGGTGCCTATTGTAGAGCCAGAGATCCTGACAGACGGAGCTCATGACATCAACACCTGCGCTCGCGTGACAGAGAAAGTCTTAGCAGCTGTATTCAAACAACTCAGTGATCAGGGGGTTATGCTGGAGGGTGCGCTGCTGAAACCCAACATGGTGACACCCGGTGCAGAGTGTAAAACAAGAGCAAAACCCGAAGAAGTTGCATTCTTCACTGTTCGCTCGCTGGCACGCACAGTGCCTCCCGCATTGCCAGGGGTTACCTTCCTCTCTGGGGGTCAATCAGAAGAAGAGGCGACGATCAACTTGAATGCAATGAACAAGATGGGGCCCCACCCATGGGCCCTTACCTTCTCCTACGGCCGCGCGCTTCAGGCATCCACTCTACAGGCCTGGGGAGGAAACCCCGAAAACAAAAGCAAAGCACAAGAAGTGTTGCTTAAGCGTGCAAAGGCAAACAGCGAAGCCCAACTTGGTACATACGCTGGAGATGCAGCAGCAGGTGGAGCAGCAAAATCCCTCTATGAGAAAAACTACGTCTACTAAACCCCAATGCTGCAGCAGCAGCAGCAGCTGCCAATGCAGCACCAGCAGCAGCACCACCTGCTGCTGTTTCTGTTGATTAGTTCTCGTGCTCCGTTCGCCGAGAAGTGCGGAGGGGTATGAGTGATTCGGGAAAATTTTGTTGGTTTTTGCAGTTCCTAAGGGGCAGCAAGCGTTTTCTTCTCTTTTCCTTTTGTTTGTTTTTGTCTTTTTCTGGCGAACGTTTGCTTTTTTTGCCATCACACAACTGTCCTCTTTCATTATGAGTTGTATCTGCTTTTTCCGTTGTCGCTTTGTTGTGTTTTTGTGTCCTTTGTTGCACGCTTGTTGTTGTTTGGTTTCTGTATTTCTTGCGGTTTCATATACACTGGGCAGTGACCTTTAGCACCCGCGCATTTCTGAATTGCTGATTACTTTATGCAAAAAAGAGAAAAAAGATAGAAAATATAAAAAAGCAGAAATCAAGTTATTGAAACAATTGCATAGGAAGATGAATAAATGAATGAATAAAAATAATAAATAGAGATTCACGCGAAAAAATAATATGCATCAGGCAGCTAAGTGGTAAACGTGAATGAACGGAAACTTGAAAAGAAGATGAAAGCGAAGGAAAGCAAATGCACACAGAATGCAAATAAACACATACATAAATATATATACATA